TTGTTGTTACCAGTTCATTGTTAATTTGTTGTTACCAGTTCATTGTTCGTCCTTTCTTCTGAAAGTAAACTGGCTGTTTTTGGTCACAGACGTTGTTTCATGGCAAAGTTGTTAAAAACAAGAAAGAAAAACTCTTTTTCCTGCAGATTTATTTGTTCCGTTTTTACTATAAGGTGGAGAAGAGTATGAGCAGTAGTGGTTGAGCATGCATCAGGATATGAGCAGTAGTGATCTCCCAGGCTCTTATCTCATCCTCACAGGATCAGAAACAGGAGATAAAATAACGCCGTACTATTATCTAGTGAACACCCGGTCTGGTCACTTGTCCCTCGTTCAGGATCAGGATCCTGGTCCTCTTCTGACACGGGCAGTGCTTCAAATGTCCACTGGCTCCTGTGTCTGATTGGACATTATACATGTTTTAAGAAAAGAGCAGGAAGTTTGTGGAGAAAATTAGATTCTGAGTCTGTGGTGACGGACAGATTTAGGTTTTTATGGTTTTGACATTCCCTGAAGGTGAGCAAAGGAGCAGGGTGGTCTGAAGGTGAAGCTTGTGCCGGTCTGTGAGCGGCGCACAAAATGTTTCAGACATTCCAGACGCCCTGAGTTTGAGGGTTACTGAAACATGTGAGTGTGTGTGGTGGGAGTGGTGTGAGTGGGTGAGACGGGACACCAGTCACCACTTGGTGTACCAGGAATGCCACTTTGGTTCACAAGTCTTGAGACTAAAAACCGTATTGTGTTTAGTGTTGTGAACTTTGTGTTCCTGCTAAAAGTACAATGAGCACACTTAAAGTCACAATCAATCATGTAATCACAGTTTTAATGAAAGTGAGGCTGAGCTGTTGTAAGAAGTGTCTAACCCCCCCGTGACGTTTCTCAGATCAGCCGTATCTCCGTTGAAAGTGATGTTTTGTCTCGGTTCAGATTTAGCGCGGTTCAGTGTCTGCTGCAGCTGAATTATGAATGTGCAGCTAACTGGAGGGGCTTGGGTCGGAGGTAAGGTTTGTGTGAGTCAGCTGGCCACTGTCGGCGTGATAACCCCGGCGTTAAGAACCATGGCAGACTCACAGACGGCCCCCTCCCCTCGCCTTCTCTCTGTAATGAACTCCGGCTAATGACTGCCTTTGATCTCTCCCTCAGACCTCTGAAGGCCTGGTTTACTCTATGTCTCTCCTCTCTCTCCTTCATCGCTCGCCTCTGTTCACTCCTCTTCTGTTTACATCCTTCTTTCTGTTTCTCTCCCCAAAATGCTAATACAGTTATTTTATTTTTACATCTTTCCTTCGTGGGGTGGAGTTTTCAATCCTCTGACCTAGACTAAAAAAAAATTGTGTCTACTGCCCTCAAAGTCTAAGAAGCATTTGGACCAAACTCTTAGCATCATTGTTGTAGTTGTAGTGTTGCATCATGCAGGGTTGTACTGTAATTGTATTGTTGTGTTGCATCATGCAGGGTTGTACTGTAGTTGTATTGTTGTGTTGCATCATGCAGGGTTGTACTGTAGTTGTAGTGTTGTGTTGCATCATGCAGGGTTGTACTGTAGTTGTATTGTTGTGTTGCATCGTGCAGGGTTGTACTGTAGTTGTAGTGTTGTGTTGCATCGTGCAGGGTTTTACTGTAGTTGTAGTGTTGTGTTGCATCATGCAGGGTTGTATTGTAGTTGTATTGTTGTGTTGCATCATGCAGGGTTTTATTGTAATTGTATTGTTGTGTTGCATTGTGCAGGGTTGTATTGTTGTGTTGCATCATGCAGGGTTGTACTGTAGTTGTAGTGTTGTGTTGCATCATGCAGGGTTTTATTGTAGTTGTATTGTTGTGTTGCATCATGCAGGGTTGTACTGTAGTTGTAGTGTTGTGTTGCATCGTGCAGGGTTGTACTGTAGTTGTAGTGTTGTGTTGCATCGTGCAGGGTTGTACTGTAGTTGTAGTGTTGTGTTGCATCATGCAGGGTTTTATTGTAGTTGTATTGTTGTGTTGCATCATGCAGGGTTGTACTGTAGTTGTTGTGTTGTGTTGCATCGTGCAGGGTTGTACTGTAGTTGTATTGTTGTGTTGCATCATGCAGGGTTGTACTGTCAATGGAGGAACCTTGACCGAGATCTTATCTAAATGTTTTCAGACTGTTTTTAAATCCATTGTTTTTGTCTCCACAGTCTAACAAAGTTCCTGTTGTGCAGCCGTCCCATGCGGTCCACCCCCTCACGCCGCTGATCACGTACAGTGACGAGCACTTCTCGCCAGGCTCTCATTCTGGTCATCATCCCCAAGACACCAACAACAAACAAGGTGCAAAGCAAAACAACAAATTAGAATGAGTGATGACTGCTTTCACGCATTGAACAAATCTTTTCAAATTATTTCTAAGATAAAACGGAGCTCAACAGGAAGAAATTAAACTTTATTTTATCCTAAAGCAGTCCTTATATGTAAAAAAAGAAGAAATTTGCTGATGCAAAGCACGAATCTGAGGCCATCTCATGGCCTTCCTGACATCTAAATGTTTTTGTTGCAATTCATAAAAGTAATTTAATAGTATCTTGTTAAGTCTAATAAAGTTGAGCTTGCATCAGGATAATTTATTAGAAGTTAATTCAGAATGCAAGATTATTTTTTCATTTTCATTTAGCCTTTATTTATCCAGGTTAGTCTCATTGAGCCACGAGAACTCATTTTCAAGAGAGACCTGTTTAGGGAGCACATGGTGGGGGTTAAGGGCCTTGCTCATGGGCCCAGAGTGGGGCGAATGAGGGTGGGGGCAAGTATGAGTGCTTCACCTACCCCACCCACAATTTTGATGTTGTCGGGGCCGGGGCGTGAACCGGCGATCTTCGGATCACAAGCCCACCTCTCTAACCTCTGCGCCACCACTCCCCACAATGTGTTTATGCAGAATGTCGAAGTAAAAGCATAAATTATATCAGCTATTTGAAAGAACCTGAAGGTATAAGAAAGTGTCGTTTTTAAAATTTAAAATTCTAAAAAAGGTGGGTTTTACTGAAACATTTAGAGCAATTCAAGAATGCTCATTTAACTGAGGTACTTGACAGTTGATGAAAAAAATCACACGACACTTGGAGGAGTCAGTAGAGACTTTTAGTGTATACTCATGTGAAGAAGCCGTGGCATGGTGTGCTAAGCTTTTCCAGCCGTGGGATAGTTCTTCGAGAACTTCCAGTCAGGGGGACAATGTGCTGAGCCCTTCAGGCCAGTGGGATGGTGCAAAGAACCCTTTCAGCCAGTGGGATGGTGCAATGAACCCTTCTGCAATTAACCCGTCCAGCTGGTGTGATGGTGCGCTGAGCCTTTCCAGTTGATGTGATGATGCGCTAAGACCTTCCAACCAGTGGGATGGTGCGCTGAGCCGTTCCAGTTGGTGAGATGGTGCGCTGAGCCCTTCCAGCCAGTGGGATAGTGCACCAGCTAGTGGGATGGTGTGCTGAGCATTTCCAGCCCATGAGATGGTGCACTAAGCCCTTCCAGCCAGTGGGATAGTGCGATGAACCCTTCCATTTAGTGGGATGATAAGCTGAGCCCTTCTAGTTGGTAGGGTGGTGCTCTGAGACATTCCAGCCAGTGAGATGGTGTGCTGAACCCTTTCAGCCTGTGGGGTGGTGCACTGAGCCCTTCCAGCCAGTGGAATGTGCATTGAGCCTTTCCAGCCAGTGGAATAGTGCGCTGAGCCCTTCCAGCCAGTGGGATATTGCGTTGAACACGTCCAGTTGGTGGGATGGTGCGCTGAGCCCTTCCAGCCAGTAGGATGGTGTGCTGAGCCCTTCCAACCAGTGGGATAGTGCAATGAACCCATTGAGTTGGTGGGGTGGTGCACTGAGCCCTTTGAGCTGGTGGGATGGTGCGCCTAGCCCTTCCAGTTGGTAGGATGGTGTGCTGAGCCCTTTCAGCCAGTGGGATGGTGCATTGAGGACTTCCAGTGATGGCATAATGCCCTGAGCCCTTCCAGCCAGTGGGATAGTGCTTTGAAAACTTCCAGCCTGTGTGAAGGTGCGCTGAGACCTTCCAGCCAGTGGGACGATGTGCCGAGTCCTTCCAGCCAGTGGGATGGTGCGCTGAGCCCTTCCAGCCAGTGGGATAGTGCGATGAAACCTTCCAGTTGGTGGGATGGTGAACTGAGCCCTTCCAGCCAGTGGAATAGTGCGCTGAGCCCTTCCATTT